ACCAATCTTAATATGTCAGCCGAAGATTCTCGTGCATATGCATCGCTTTTGCCGTTTAAAGAGGAAGAGAACAACAACGTTTAGGGTGTTGGTGAATACACTTTTCTCTGTTTTTATAAGAACCTTTTTCATCAGGAAGTTCAGAATGATTGACCAAAATTTCAAGAACATACTAAGAACACACCCAGGCTGAGAGTCAGTGAAGAACGTCGTTATTTTGCTCAAATTTTTTTTCGGTCGGAATATGTAAATATATACACGCGCCTCACTGATGCCCGCAATACTAACTTGTCAGCTGACAATTCGCGCGCTATGCGTCGCTTTTGAAGTCTGAAAAAGATGACAATGGCAGTAAATACGTTAATCAAATACAAGCTTTGAGGCCAAGTTTCCCGAGACACGATGAAATTTAATCAGCATTAGTGTGACTCTTTTCGTTTTACAGCCTCTCTATTGGTGTAGATTTTTATTTTTCTATGATTTTCTTTTGATTAGGGTGGTACCGTACGATTTGTAGAGAAATCCATAAAGAGCGAATATTGCCTTTCGAAACCTGTCGACATCATAGATTGCACTCTCAGTGGAACATTATTCGCGAGCTTTAAAATTAGCAGTTTCTGTGGGGGTAATCTAGTGTTCCACCCAGTTTTTCTTCAGCCTTTTTGCGGCTTCTCTGAGAAACGAGCGTAAAAGAACGGGTAACTGGTGACGAGGATAAAGCATGTGGGACCTTGAATACTAAGTACACAACCAGTGATTTCAGCCGAAAGGCGTTTAAGATTTACCGTCACTGTTGCTTTTTAGTCAGTCTTTATGCGCCTTTTGAAGACATAAGACATAGGACATGAATCATTTTTATGGGTTGTAGCTTAACAATAACTTTTCCTTTACGGTTGATTGAGAAGAATTATTGTGTGAAATTTGAGTTTATTTCCTTTGTTTGGAGATCGAAACGAATCACAAAAATGATTTTCTTTCTGAAGTAGCTAACATTGTCGCAAACAGTGAATGATTTTTTACCACTCAGAATACATCCCCGAATTGAAATGCCTGGCCCTCTGCTTAATATTCAAGGAACAAAAAAGTATGACACATTGCACAGAAATTAATGACTTCTCACTTGTATTTCAGATTTATGGCTGCTTTAGCACCACTTTCAAGGAAATTCGGAGCGATTAAATGATGCCTGATGTTCCAAGTCTTCTGCTTCCTTGGCATGGAACCCCAGCGTAGTCACCGTCTGAAGATGATCACCAAAAATTTCACATCTAAACTTTAGAGCCTACATTATTAATGATTCTAGTGTCTCACTGTAGTCACCGATAATGTCAGTGCTGAGGTTCAGCAAGGCAGTGTTGCGTGAAGTCTAGGGCTAGATGCAAACCACTTAAAATGTATAATAAATAAAAGATCGTTTTGAATCAGTTTGAAGGTGCTTCTATGCAATTTCGATTCATAAGGTAACTATGAAGTATTAACAGTAAAAACCTGGTTTCATAACTGCGCGGTTAAACTCCTGAGTTGAATCTAAAGACGCCAAAAGTTAATCACACCCCGTATTTAGATGTCGCGGTAAAGACCGAGTTAAAATGTTCCAAGCACATAGCATCAATTTCAAAATCTGATAATAAAATTTGGGCTTGGTCATGTAGAGTATTCTAAATTACCCGAAAAGAAAATATGTTGGCCATTGTATGATCCAAATTAAAATAACCTTGCACCTCTTGGGACCTGCACTACAAGAAAACATCGAACAAGTCCAGAGAACCGAGAACCGTACTCTTTGAGAAAGTTGCGTGACATCTAAAAGAACGACTGCGAAGAACGCTGACTGACGACCAGTAGGAGAGGTTCACAGTTCTCAGTTTCAGTGACGCAGAATTTCTTAAGTTACCGCTCGCTGTTTTGCTAGCACACTGCTGGAGACCTTGCTTCCTTGTGCCAAGTCGCTTGGAAACCGGGTTATGACTCATCACCCTTCAGTGTCTTTCCCACATCTCTCCTCCTTATCAACAAGGCCGCGCGGATATCGATCGAGTAAAGCTTATAGACCACAATCCGGAAGGTTTTATGAATTTCTGCTTATGTTGGCACCAAGGACTCTCGACCTTTTGTCTATTCTCTGCTACCATTCTACTTACAGAAAAATTACTTCTATTCTCCTCTCCTAACCACTGTGCATGGCTAGGACTACTTATCGGTTCTTACTTGCCCCTTGTAACTCTAGAAGACTCTAATTAAATCTGATCGGTTGACTACGAGCTCCATAGCACACGCTTTTATATTTATTAACGTTAGGCATAACAGAACATGCTGGCCAACTGACCTTAAAAGATTAAAACTTGTTGTCAAAACAATATCCCAAATACTTTCACAAGAATGTAAAAAACTGATATTAACAGTCACCTAATCCTTCCGATCAAACAATCACTTTTTGACCTTCATTTGCCAAAAAAATAACTTTCATGTGGGTCCAAGGCAAGGTCCGTGGACAAACTATGCACGTCCACTGAAGGAAGTTAATCGAGACAGTCACAATTTGGAAACCCATCGCAATAGCTTAGCTCTAAACAACTTTGAACTTTGAATTCAAATCTTAAATAATTGCCTAAGATAGTCAAATGACTGAAATCATAATCCACTTACTGAATAATCTGCTACACTTATATTTTTTAAAAAAACGCGTATGTCGTTGTTTTGTTGCTCAATCGATGCCTTTAACAAAACATTCAGTGCCGCTTAACAATCTTTCTGTAGAAGGGCATAAATAAAACTATACAAGCATCCTTTTAAATTTCCTAATATTGGATAAAAAGTTGTCGAGCTTTTTAGCAATGCAGTCAGTTCAGCTTTTAAAGTCAAAGGCCTGCCTCACTCCACTCCCAAACAACGCAACTCATCATGAACTGACGAAATACTGCAATCAATCAAAGATGGACTATCAAGAGAAGGCAAAATTTAAGGTCAATAATCATCAGGATATTTTTGGGAGTCAGATGAATTTGAAATGCAACTTAACTTGTCCACTCTGGAAAACGAACAAATTATTTTCTGTCCACACTACAAGTATCACCAGTTACAGAAACGTTTGAATGTACCGTTGAGCATGCTTGCAGTCAGGCTTGATAATCAACGGCGGGCTGGCAAGCATGCTCACCTTCCTCCCATCGAAGAGCAGACGCGCGAAAACAGCAAAAAATCTAGCCTAGCGTTTAAAGAAGACCCAAGTAGTTCGCCGTGGAATTCAAGAAGCTTTGACGTTTAGTTTTACGCAAAGATCTGTTTTCATTTTTCTTTTGGCCGTTCAGTCTAAAACGCCAGGGTGGCGTTTTCAAATCGGGAAGCACTTTTGAAAAGCTCTGTTTCCAGTGCACACAGCCGGATTTGGGTGGGTAGTAGGCAAAATACTAGAAACTGATGCTTTTGTTGCGCCAATTCACCTTCATATAATTTTTTGTAATTTGGTGATAAGGAACACGCGGACTGTGTCGGCATATATATGGCTAAATCTGGAAATATAGACAATCAAATGAAAGCAAATTAAAGTACTCTTCCTTGTTCGTATTTTAACAGGTCAGTTAAAAAAAACATTTCGCAGCGCATAAAACAAGAGTAAGCATCGCGCAGACTATCATTTAACTTGCACGTGGTCAGTACGCGACCTGATCCCGTTGTCAGGGGGTTGTTCTGCGCGCTTAACGTCACAGTGTCCTCAGTTTATGAAACCGGCGCGCGAAAGGTGGATGCGTCATTTCGCAGTTGCTGTTGCCTGCGAAAGTTTACCAAAACTTTCCGTGAAATTTGAAATTGAGTAAGAATAAGACGTACTTTGAGCATCCAGAAGTAGACAAGGGTAAGCATACTCCAAGTGGTTCAATGCTTTAAACAAAATTCGTAAAAATAATGCGTTAGTAGCCTTTATGACGTCAAACACGTGTGGCACGTGCATCAAAATTTTTGAGTCAATTGAGTCAACTGATGCAAGAAGGCGGTGAAGAGATGAGATCGGTTTGCCTTTATAATTAAAATGTATGGAGTGGGGCTAATGCGATTATTTTTTTCTGGTACTTCTTATCTATGATTTAAGTCATAGCTATTCCTTCTTTTAAATAGCTCACATCAGAACGAATTCTGTATGTCGGTTAATATTTATCAGTCTTGCCGATTTTACATGGACGAGCAGGCGTTCTTTTGAGGGAATTTTAAAGCCTTAAACAGTAACAAATTTTCTCTACCCTGTGGTACAGCAGACTATTAAAAATGATGAAAAAGTGAGAAGATCTAACACAGGTACTTAACAAGACATTTTTATTTTAAGGAATTCAAGAGGTGTAATGACAGTATCTTCCAATTTGTTTGCTGTTTGATGTCATTTCAGCCTGAACGTTCTCATAAAAAAGGTTCTTTAGAAAAAAAAAGAGAGGAAGAGCGTACATTGCCCACGGAGGTAGCACACATCATTTTCTGACCTTTCCACTCCCGATTTGTTGTCCACACCCTCATCAGCCTCTATTTTACTATTGTTTTCAGCTCGCGCTCCAATATACGACTGGATTGAGGTCAACGACCTCCGAAATGTGCATATGGAAAATAACAGGTTGCATGTGTCCTCACGCGCCAAACGATCAATAATTAGTTAATCAAATGTGACAAAGTCGAACTTTTAAGTTAGTTTTAAGTTCAAGCGACTCCGGTTACTTCTGAGACTTATTTGGTTCAGGTACTAATTTAAAACCGATTACATTGCCGTTGTTAATCTGTACTGTTTGTTGCTATCAATCAAAAATAGCCAACAGCTGCGTACGTCAGTTCCGGAGTGAAATTGTTGTCGAAGGGAACCAAAAGCCTTTACTCAAGGGCTCTGACATATGTAAATGAGTTTGAGGTATTTAAATAAGCAACCGATGACAAAAGGAACTGTCAAAGCCCTAATTAGACGTGATTTGGACAGTCAAATATTAAATTTTGCTTTCGATATCGCGAATCATGTAGATGCTCGACTGAGCTTACTTAACTTTGCAAGATGGCAATAGATTTACAACCCTTGATCATTGGTGGTCTTTTTCTCTGTTTTGGCGCACAAGTACACGGGAACGATGGTAAGATAAATAATCTGAGTTTCGACTGGATTAATGTTATACTATTTGCTGCTTTCATATGGATTCGGCTTTCCGGTGTGGGAGTAAAGCACGTATGTTGGATGACAGGAGCGGCGAGAGTTAATTAGTGTTACAATACTGTCTAAGGGTCTCTCCAAATGATTTTTATCAGTTTTCACAATCTCTGGGATAGTCAGACGAGTTTTTAACGCGTTTCATAATATTTAAACCTTTGAGCCTACTCTCGGAAACTGTAGACAGTCATTTCGTTTGATGCGTTTCACTAAGAGACCGGAAACACGTGAACTCGTGATTTTGATCTTTGTTTTGTTAGGGAAAAAGGTCGCCTTATATGTTCAGCTCTTTGGTTGACCTGCAGATGTAATTGCGGAGATTTGGGTTTTCTAGAATAAAAAAAGTTGATTTAAAAGGAAATGTTTGTTGGTGCGTTTTCGACAGCTGCCGCGCTCAAATTTAAGTCCGTTCCGTTATTACGGAGCTAAAATAACTTTACTGGTTACTTAATCTTTAGTCTCTTTAAGCGCATGTAATAAGCCATGAACAGGGTGATTTAGTGTTACCAACCGAGTTGAAAACGTAAATTGGCCACCGTAAAGAGTTTAAAGACCGACGTTTCGAGAGTTAGCCCTTCGTCAATCGCTCTGATAACGCTTCTTAAAGCCAAATATCAGAGGGTGTAATTAACAATTCATGAGATTCCATGGTGGCGCGCGTCCGTTCAGAAATACATCACAGATGACGTCAAAACGTGGTAAGAGTAAGAAAGAGTCACACTAAAAAAAACCTTGACTTTGTACGTATTCCATCTTTCATTTTAGAGTTAACAACAGAGCCAGTAACGTCGCACAGGAGTGTGGAAAATCAAGTTTCACATACTATGTCTTCCCCAACACAAGCTGGGAGAATGACCACAGGTATGCACTCACTTTTCTTGTGAAAGGCTCTGGGAAGATGAACTGTACCACTGTTGATTCTGCGGCTAAATTTTAAGGGGCTTCTATTTGAATTTAATTTTTTGTTCTACGAGTTTGGTTAAATGTATCTGCTCAAATTCCTTCCTTTTTAATGATTCTTACCACCATGGTGAGTAGTAGAGGAAAGAGAGAGTGGAAGTGATCAGAGTGGAATGGAGACTGGACCTGACTGGTTCGAGAGATAATAAAGTGTTTATAATTAGTTTATGAACTCTAGCTGTGTGTATTTGTGCTGAGTTATACCAGCACGACACTTGACTCTCTCAGTGCCAATGAGAACCTGATAAATTGCATGCTGTGGGTTACCTGAAATGGGCGAGTACTTCATCCAGGACCTGAGTCCTAGTGTTAGTCTCGGTAGCTTTGTGAACAAGAAACCGTGACAAGCTCTGGTTCGTGGGCCACAGGGCAGGTGTGGTCCATAGGCCACAGGGCAGTTGTGGTCCACAGACCAGTTGTGGTCCACAGACCACGACGCAGGTGTGGTTCATAAGCTACAGGGCAGGTGTGCTCCATAGGCCACAGGGCAGTTGTGGTCCATAGGCCACGGGACAGTTGTGGTCCATAGGCCACAAGGCAGGTCTTCAAACTCAGTTTAATATTAATAATATATTGATAATATTTGATAAAAGAAAATTTAGAGGATGAAACGGCTTATTTCCCAAACTTCACCCTCATCAATTGATTCTAAAAGCATAGTTTTTGGACAATAAAAATTTTTCTTTGTCTGCGGCGTTCAAAACTGTCTCTATTCGTTTACTTTGTTTCCTTATCCTCTTTTGATTCACTCGCTTACATTTTTGTCCGTTTATGTACATGTATTTATCAATATATATGTTTCATCTAAAAAATCAATAAATTCCCGTTAGGCACCGTGAGGTTAACCCCAGATGAAAATGATGGGCGTGGTTGTTTTTCTCCTTGGAGTTTAAATCACTAAAAACCCCTTCATTAATCATTCATATTTTTTTTTACTTCATAGAAGAATCAACCTCCAGAGTTCCTTTCAAAATAATCTGGGGATTAGTCGGTGCATTTACCTTAGCCATACTAGTTACGATTATTGTTATTTTTGAAAAACAAGTCAGACGGAAGAGAAAAGAGAATGTCAACAAGGTATATTAACAAATTATAGTTTATTTTCTTTGCTCTCTCTACTGATTTAAAGTGGTTACTTTTTGTTTTCATGAGATGACGACTGGCTTAAATGACGTTTTCGAAAGTTCTCCTTCGATTCTCTTATTAAATACAAATTATGTCAACGTTTGGTCGAAACTGTCCGAGAGGGAACTGTTAAAAATTGCTTCAGATGTTTCAAATGGAATGCGCCATTTAGAAAGCAAACTGGTGAGTAATACTTTTTTGTGTGTGTACTCTTCTCGGCCGACCTTGAAGTTTAACTGCTGCTAAGGGAATATTTCGTGCAAACGTGAGTTCGTAAAAATTTACGGTCTCTTCCTTTTGGTGCGACGGTGGCGTAACGAACATTAAAAAGCACGTATGTATTTATTCATGAAAGCGTTACGCGTTGTGTTACGCAGTGTTTGGTTTCGCGAGAAACCATGTTTGGTTTCGCGAAGAACCGTTGACTTAATAAGTTATACGGAATAGTTTGGGAAACCAATAAAATAAACCAATAAAAATGAAATAAACCAAAACAAAATAAATTATATGGACAGGCGGGTTACCTCACCAACCTGGGGTCCCCCACCTCCATGTAAACAGGCCCTAAACAGGCCCTAAGGGCCTGTTTACATGGAGGTAGAGGACCCCAGGTAGGTGAGGTAACCCGCCCAGGTGGGGTAACCCGCCTGTCCATATAATTTATTTTATTTTGATCACGTTTACATGATAGGTGAGGTGACCCGCCTAGGCGGGTTGCCCGGTCTGCCAGGTAGGGTAACCCGGTCATTTTTATTGGTTTATTTTATTGGTTTCCCAAACTATTCCGTATAACTTATAAAGTCAACGGTTCCTCGCGAAACCAAACATCGCGTAACACAACGCGTGACGCTTTCATGAATTAATACACGTGTCCGAGAATTAATCTTTCGTCCTTTTCGACAATTGAGCTTGGGACGCCTCTACTCAAACTCCTTAATTGCAAGCGCAACAACAACCTCAAGAAACCTCACCCCAGCACCCCGAGGTTGTAAGAGTGCATGTAAACGCGTTTTATTTTTCGACCACGGCTAGGCGGGTTACCTCACCTAACTAGGGTCCCCCGGCTCTATGTAAACAGGCCCTAAATTTCGCAGCTTGCTCGCTTCGCAGATTTAGCGGCTCTTTTGGACATAAGTCGCTGATTCAAACAGTAAAATGCTCTCGTTTCAAAGAAAAAATATTTCCTCAAAGCCTCTATGATATGGAGATCACACCCATGGAGATATTTCTGCGAGGAAAAGTTTGATTCAAACTACGCGTCGGTGACCGAGTCGGTAAACATTTTGGGAAGTCTACATTGTCTTTTGCTTTGTCACGGCAAGAACTGCGAGAATCATGTCTTCGCATCTACTGGGCATAATTCGCTTATTCAAACGGTAAAATGCTCTCTCTTCAAAGAAAAATTCCTCTAAATTTCATAATGCGCCGGACCACATGGAAAAGTGTTGTTTTTAATCACGCGCAAATCTGAAATGATTGTGAGATGTCTATATCATCTTCAGTCCGCTGTCCCTTGAAGTGTCACGGCAAGAACTAGAAACATTATGCGTTAGTGGTTATAAGCCTAAATTCACAAAAAAAGAGAGCACAAACGAGTATGTAGTGCAAATGTCGAACTTACTAAGATACTACGAAACAAACAAAAAGTAGCACAAAATCAAGATCCATTGTTGAAATGACTCACTCACTCACTCACGCACCCACTCACGAACTCTTCACGACGACATACGTGGCTTCGTCTCCAACAGCAGCCACAACAAACAAGACGCCTAGAGGCGATTCCGTGGGATGCGTTGGCTACTGAGCGTAGCATTAGAAGGAATTGTGCAGTTACAGTAACTACCATGATTAGTCAGTTAGATCACCCGAAGAAATCACTGATTTTTTTATGGAACTGGACATACTGATCTCTTCGTGTTTCTCGTGGCTTGTTTCATTCCACCGAAGGGCAACGGCTGGATTAAAAAAAATTCCATTTCCGCTGAAAACGACTTGTCTCCTTTGAGGACGTAATTTGTTTATCAAAAACTTAAACGAAAAAGAAGCGGTTTTTAAAACATTTAACGGTAAACTAGTAATTACCAAAGGTTAGGAAATGCGGGCGAGGACGATGTATTTTTAGCTATTTGGTTAATGAAAGATTTGGGGGCCCACAGGGAGAAAATATTTGTGTTGAGGGGTTGAAATTTTAGTCCATGAGGCCACCCCCCATGCTCCACTCGCTTTTCCCTCTGTTTTGACATTAACAATAGAGTGATTTTACTAAACCTGTGAAACAGTTACCAACACAAGATCATTCCATGAGATACTAGTCCTATTGTTTTGTTTAGTTTTAGTAATATGCTGTAATCGTTGTTTCACGGTGTGGAGAAAATCACTGTAGGTTATAAAATATGCGTATTGATCCAGTCAAAATGATTGATGTAACGCAACAATTATTTATTTAATATCTTAACATGCAAAACTTAGAGATGTTATTTGAATGAATAACAATAAAATAAAAAAATAAGGCACTTGTTGATGTGCATAGCTTAAAATGTTACTGTATGTTAGACTGAAGGACGAACAACGCTGTCGCTCCACGCTTCTACGGGATCAAAGAGAACAGTCTCAGACTATACGCTTGTCAGGTCAAGGACGAACAATACCGACGCTCCACGCTTGAAGTAAAGGACGAACAGATACGACTCTCACTCGACGTTTGAGGTCAAGGACTCAGGGTAACCCGCCTAGCCGTGGTCGAAAAATAAAATGCGTTTACATACAGTCTTACGACCCCGGGGTGCTGGGGTGAGGTTTCTTGAGGTTGTTGTTACGCTTGCAATTAGGGAGTTTGAGCATGGGCGTCCCAAGCTCACTTCTCGAGAAAGACGAAAGATTAATTCTTCGACACGTATGTATTTATCCATAACACCACATAACACAACGCGTGACGCTTTCAGGTTACGCGAGGACTATTGACTTAATACGTTATACGAAATAGTTTGAAAGGAATCTGGTCGATTTACAACGCTAAATATTCAGAAATGTGAACATTTTACACTACTTGCGTGTCCGTTGTGGTTTCTGCCGATTTCTGCCATGAGACGGCTAGGAAATGTACAAAGTTTTAAAAAATACGTGTTTCGTTTTTGAGCTTTTTGCCATGAACGCGACCCCGGGTAGGCGAGTTACCTCACCTTGAGACGTTTACATGGCAAATTGTCACCCCGGCTGATAGGGTTAGGCGGGTCACCCCACTTATCATGTAAACGTGATCAAGAAAAAATAAGAAATTACATGGACAGGCGGGTTACCTCACCTACCTGAGGCCTAGTTCAAACGTCGATCTTTACATGTACCGAACCTAACGTTTCTATTAAGTACATGAAAAGATCGACGTTTGAATCAATTAGGATCGGCAGATTTGTATAGACGTTTAAATCAACTGCCGCTCTTAATTATTCGAGTCGACCCAAATTGCAATTAGGTTCGGTACATGTAAAGATCGACGTTTGAACTAGGCCTGAGGTCCCCACCTCCATATAAACAGGCCCTAACAGACGAACACCACTCTCGCTACTCGCTTGAGGCGGAATGCGGCCGGGAAATGGCATCAAACGCATCAAACGCATCCAACGCATCCAACGCGACACGAACGGAAACGTCGAATCCAGATTGACACGCTTGATTTGGATTGGTCGGTGCTGCTGCTATGCGTAAGCGGCTATTTTTTTGTGGTGGGGGGAAGGATATCTTCGCTCACCTCGCTCATCCCCCCACGGGCTGGATTGAAG